ATATGAATAGATATGTATATACATACATGTGTACGTATACATACATACAATATATATATATGTATATATATATATGGAGTTATTTATTTATTTGTTTATATGTGTGCATATAATACGTACAACTTATGGATATGTAGACGTACACTGCGCAAACAGATAGAGGTACATGTGTGCAGAAACATGTTTGTGTATGTATACACATGTAGATATACGCACACATACATGCATGCATGTATGCATGCATGCGTACATACATACATACATACATACATACATACATACATACATACATACATACACACTACATATACTGGAAAAAGCACAAACACAGAGACATACAGACAGACAGACAGACAGACAGACAGACGGACAGACAGACAGACAGACAGACAGACAGACAGACAGACAGACACACACACACACATACATACACACACACACACACCTACATTCCTGTGTACATGTAATATCGCACTGGGTTTAGTAGCCCCCTCTCCTCCGACCATTTCCCGACGCACTGAATAATAAACTGTTCCTGTGGACCCGCGGCAGCCAGGGGTGCGGGCTGTAGAGGGAGATAAGCTCGGACGGACGCGTGTCCCGCCACGCTCCATCTACATACTTGCTACCACTGCTGCTGTGGCTCATTCTTGAGATGATTACCATTCCTTCTTAGCAGTCGCGTCTTTTTTGGTTTGGTTATTGTCATGCTTCCATTATGATCATAGCCATTACGTTCGTTCCCACTGTTCCTACCAAGAGACCAGGTGCCCCAGTAGCTTTTTCCTGAAAAACGAATGTACAATACAAAACAAGGTACCCTCAAACTACCGTTGATGATATAAATCCTGCATTACCTTCAGGACCCTAAACTATGGGAATTATGGTATATTCCTTCTTATGGGTTATGCAGGACTTATATCATCAACCGTATGAAGGGTATACTGGAGAATCTTGTGGCGCGAGACGCCCTCCCCGAATCCTTCTACTCTGTTCTAGAAGCCTTATTGAAAATAGGTAGGCTCCTTATACAGAGCTGTTAGACTCCTTATAAACTCTTACAAATTCTAGAATCAAATAAGAGCCTTGTTTTAAGAATATATCTGACCAGAAGCTGACAAGAACCGTATAGAGCATTGTGGGAAACTTGCAAAATCTTATCAGGACCGTATAGCATAAATTGGCATACTCTGCAGAAGCCAAAGGGTAAATACCTTGCAGAACCTGACAAGAGTCGTACAGACTACTACAAGAACCCTATCCCAAAACCCAGGGGTTCTTTGGCCTCGCTGTCGTGCTCGGTGAAGTCGGAGGAGGCTTAGACTCGTTGGGGCTCCATTTCCAGAGCTTGGCAAAGGTACCATGAGAGTACCATAAGAGTTTGGCGTTTAGAGTTTAGAGTACCGTGAGAGCACCATACTGGTTCCAGAAGGGGCAATAAGCATAGGCTCCTTGGTAGTTCCTTTGATCCTAAATATAAACCACAAGAAAGAAATGTAATGGAGCCTATGGGTAGGCATAAGGGCACCATCAGGGTGCTGTCAACGTCCTGTAAGGGTGCTCTGCGGGTTCAATTAGGGTTCGCGGTTTCGGGGGTAGGCTGAGCCTCCAGACTTTTAGGATGCAGGGGGGGTCGGGAGTTTGGGATTTTGCAGTTTGGCTTTGGGTTGTAGGGGCTTGGGTTGAGGGGCTTGTGGGATGTGGGCCCTGCGGTTTGGGCTCTTTGGGTTTTCAGGCGGTTTGGGCTCAAGGTAGGCGCAGAAGAACCAGGCATTTCGGGTTTCGCTGGGCAGTAAGGGCAGCAGTCGAGTCCCTTGTGAAAAGGCTAGTTGATATCTCTTTCGGGGATCCGGGGCTGTTTGCAGAGTGTTTTGCCGAATAGGAGGCTGCGGACTAGACTAAATTCTCTAGCAGAAAAGCATAGAATGGCATAGAACTAATCAAGCTATAAGCAAGAGGACTCTGCTGCAATCACCACCGGCTCCGCGAACATGCTTCCCAGGCCGAAGCTCATCAGCTTGAAGAAATCGCGGATCAGATCCCCCCGAAAACCCCGCCCCGAGTTGAACAAAACTATCAGCAGACCGGCCACGTGGCAAAGCCGTAACTCTGCTTGAGCCCCGTGACAGGACGACAAGGATGATGATGACCTGGGATACCCCTACCTGACGCCGCTTGGCTACAGCTGCTTGTGCTCTGGGGCTCTTTGAGGGAGGTTGATTGAAAGCCTATCCAGTCCCTATCCCAGCCTACTGAAGATTGAAACAGCCCGAACTAAGCAAGTTGTCCTGCAAGGAAGCTGGGGCACCCTGAGACCTACTCTCCGACCCCAGCAGCGGTCCCTGCACCCTTTGTCCGAGAGGTGAGAGTGCAAACACTACATCCTAAACCCTTCCGCAATGCGGATTTCGCGGAGCTGGATTGGTTAGGCGTAAAAAGGTGCTCAAAAAAAAACATTCTGCCGACCTTAACTGCTAGGCGGGACAAGGTTTAAAACAAAAACATTCTGGTTCTCGCTATGCTTTCCTCCCACGTAGCGCATCGCCTGCCGAGCGGCCAAGGAAGCTCTGTGATGATCCCGCCCTGCAGGGCTGCACCTGCCTCAAAAACCATGGGTTCAGGGTTTAGGGTTTATCCGGGTTCAGAACCCCAAGCCCTAAACCCTTAGAGCCCAGGCTTAAGGCTCAGTTAGCATCGGGGCGTAGGGTTTAGGATTCAGGACAAGGGGTTTAGGGGTTTAGGCTGCAAGGAGGTTGAGGGTTTAATCCTAATACGGATGTCCTGGCGTGACATTGCACGTCAGTTGCAGAAAAAAGGCTAGTACTTGGAGGTTCATGGGTAGTTATAACTATGGTCATAAGTCCCCTAATATGGGTTATAACTATAGTTACCTTACTTGTAACCCACTTATAACTACCCATGAACCTCCAAGTAATGGTATCTCATATCAGGGCAGTTCGTGGCCACTCAGGATGGCACGACAGTCTGCTTGAAGGTGGAGAGGTGTGGATCTTTGGCGCTGTCTTGCGTGTTTTGAGAATGATGATGATGGTGGTGACGGTGGTGATGGTGGTGATGGTGATGGTGATGGTGATGACGGTGGTGATGGTGGGCATGGTGATGATGGTGATGGTGATTGTTTGCCTAAAAAGGCAGCAGTTTTTGGGCGACTTGAAGCCCTGACGTAGTGTTCTACACCCTAAACTCTAAACTAAACCCTAAACTCCAGGTTGCAACTTCCCCCTGGACGAGTCGCTCATCAACATCGGCAGCTGTGAGGGAAGCTGCGACATCGTCCTGGTGGGTGTGGGCATCACGTGCCGCCCTCGGAAAGTGGTGGGCTTTCAGGGCTTAGGAGTCAGGTGTTTAGGGATTCAGACGTTTAGGATTTAGAGGTTTATCGTCTGCAAGGATTTAGGTTTGATTTAGGCGTCGGGATGTGGGGTTTAGGACTTGGGATTTAGAGTTATGGGATGGAAGGGTCGGATTAGATCATCAAGGCGCTGAGCGTACAGTCGAGTACAGGGCTATGGTGATTCATTCTCATGTCCACTCTTGTGGGTTCATAATAGGCGTCAGAACAAGTTGTAGTGATGTCCCCTTGTGGTGAGCTTATAACTATAACTATTCTATAATGCATTAAAGAACCCTTATTGCGATGATTACGGCCACTAGGAGTAAGACGGGACCCTCGGCTTCTGCGCTGTGCTCTTTTGGGGGATGAAGAACTCACGGGGTTTAGGGTTTAGGGCTTAGGATTCACGATGTCTGAGGCCTGAGATGTGCTCCGTGCGCTGCTCGAAGGGGAACGAGGTGACCGTGGAGGCCTGACATGGTCTGGCAGCTGGGAGCTTTGCGGCTTTGTATAGTGCTCAGACTCTGTATCCAGAAAAGGTTCACCTTAAAGGATCCTAGATATAAACCACTGTATCCAAAGTTCCCCTTGAATCTGGGGGAAGAAGACGAACGAGAAGGATGCTTGCGATCACCTTTTGTATTCTAGCAGGGACCTTTGCTGAAGCACGCCAACAGAGGGCCGCCCCGTTGGGGGGACGATCAGCGAAACACCAGAACGCCTTGCAACTCAACAGAAAGCAGCAATTGAGGAGCAAATTGAGCAAGCCTCTTACCCTGCAGCCCTAAACCCCTGCCTGGCCTCCCCAAACCCTGAACCCTATGCTCCCACGAATAGGTAGTCTCCATTGTATATAGTTCCTTTTTGGGGCTACCTTTTAGGATGGAGACTATAGGTAAATCTTAATACCCAACCAATCTCGAACAGAAGCTCCACCCTCAACCGACGAAGCAGCAATACCCTCGCCTGGCATGTCCGAGAGTGAGTGGCGAAGCTTTAATCCCCTGGTGAAGCCCACAATCCAGGCCCTGCCTTCCGAAGATGGAAGCTCCGTGCGAGTGTTGCTCAACGGCCAATTCCTGAGGCGCCGAAAACAGGGGCTTCTAGGGTTGAGTGTCATATATGATTAGAGCTGCCATATGACCAGTATCGCTATCACGCGCTCTGTTTCGGAAGATACCTGCACGTCGAGTGACAACGTGGTGAAGGCAAGAGGTATCATAAAGGCTAGTCGCCGTCTGGCTGGCTCGTCTCGTTCCCAAGGCCCGAACCATGGCCCTGAATCTCTGAACGTGTGTCTCAAGGGTCATGCCTTCCCTCAGCCTGCGTGGCCCCAGGAAGGGAACAAGTCCTCGAAAGCCTGAAGAAAAAAAACCCTGGGCGGCATATCGCAAGCTTGATATCATTTCGTTTGGTGAAGCGCAGCTCGCGGCATCGCTGCCATCTGAGGCTTTTTGAGTTTCCACAGAGGGTTCAGATAGACGCTTCTTCCCGCCTAGCCATTGCCGGCTTGTGGACTGCAGCCCAAGTGCTGGATCTGTTTCGTGCGATGCCAAGCGAATCAACGCCCCCCTCGCTCCGCCGTCGCCGCACTTTGAGGAGTCAGCGTCTTTCACTGGCGAGGCCAACCGTTGCCTTTGCTCTCATGGTTCTATCACCGACGGCAGCGTCAGCGGAATTCATCCTTCACACAGCAGGTGCTGGCCAGTGTCCCTCGAACACAAGTACTCCCACACGATCGGAGTGCCGAAATGAAGTCGCAAGCGCTCTTGCAGCTCTGGGTTACGATTACGTGGGTATGTTTCCCCCGAGCCCCTCGCAGCCCGGGGGTTGCATGGTAAACCTGAGGACTCGTCAGCTTTACTACAGAAAGAACTTGTGGGGCTCGGGGGGTGGTGGAGAAGGCGACACTGACGTGAGTGTCATCTGCACCTCGGGCTCCTCGGGGTCCTTGCAAGACAGCCTGCTTTTCATGATCGGGGGAAGCGTGGTCGGATTCTTCGTCCTTGTCTTCTGCTGCATCGCTGGCGCGAAGACGGAGCCGGAATATGCAGGTGGACCGCCGGCTGTGGCCATCGGTAAAGCGATGCTGCGCACAGACAGTCAGGAGCTGGTGGAGCCGCTGGAGGAGATGGCGATGAAGAGCCTTCCAAAGTACTGGACCGGATGCCGGGAGAGCCAGGATAACTTGGGCTTCGACAACCTTGTGTATGTGCAGCACGAGCATATGGAAGTGTTCCAGGAGCTCGTCAACTACACCTACCGGCAGATACCGACACAAGATCGTCTATGCCCAACGGGCGAGCACGGCAAGACCAGGGGTGGATGCCCTTGTGTGCAGCCTGGTGGAGAGCCTGGCCTACCTACAGGCTACCAGATCAAGCGTGTCATCCGTGTGGAAAACTCTGCGATGTTCACTCGCTACGTCGATAGATGCGACCAGATCAAAAGGTCGCGCTCGTCTTGTGAACCTCCGAACCCCGAGATTTTCACACGTGCTGCCATGAAAGCCTCCAGTGGATTGACCGACGTCTTGTGTGATGTGGATGACAGCATCAACGAGGTGTACCTTTGGCACGGAACGCAAGTTCGAACCGGCCTGGCGATTGCTCAAACTGATTTCAGCCTCAATTTTGCCGGTTCGGGCGCGGGCACGATGTACGGGAAGGGCTTGTACTTCTCGGAGAGCTGCACCAAAGCCGACGAGTACACCTTGACTGAGCCTCATGGCCACTACGAGGGTGTGAGGGCCTTGCTCTTATGCCGTGTGTGCCTGGGCAACTTCCACTACACCTCGGATCGCGATCCATCTGCCATTGACAAGTACGCGAAGGGCGAGTGTGACAGTACGATCGGCGACCGCACAAAAGCAGCGAACACTTACCGAGAGATGGTCGTGTACGATCGCGACCAGGTCTATCCAGAATACTTGGTCCTCTACGAGCGCCTGCACAAGGGCGTGCCTCCTCAGCTGCCGCCGAAAGATGTGCCGTTCCTGCTAGAGCTGCCGTTGTATTGGAGGAATCTCGGCCGCAATCCGTACAGAGAGAGCTTCCGAGAACACTGGTTGGTGAGGCCAATGATCCGCGAGCTCATCCAGCGACTGGCCAACGGTTCACGTGGCTGCGACCGAGCAGCGCCCAAGGTGGTCCGGGCAAGGCGCATCGAGGACTCAGTCCTTTGGTGTCGTTACATTGACTGGAAGAGATCTTTAGGCGCGAGTCTCAAGGCCAAGGGTGAACTCAAGTGTACACCTCCAAATGAGCTGAGCGGAAGCCCGGAATCCAGCTACGCGCTTACTGCACCGATCTTGGCAGAGTTCCACGGCGGCGAAGTCATCTCTGCGGAGAACATGGCGCCGGGTTTGAACGAGATGCTGTTGTGGCACGGCACCTCGCAAGAGGCAGCGGAGGCCATCTCTGAGACAGGTTTCCGGGTCCAGACGAGCAGAGCGCATGGTCGTCGTTTCGGCGATGGGGTGTACCTCGCAGAGGACTTGAGCAAGAGCCTCAGCTACTGCACCTCAAGCTGTACTTCAAACGGCAACGTGAAATATGTCTTGCTCTGTCGAGCAGTCTGTGGCCACATTCACTACACGGAGGAGAAGTATCACCCCGAGGCTACGAGTGAAGCAGCAAAGCTGGGTAAGCAGTGCGTACTTGCGCATCCAGACCGTTCTGCAAGAGAGTCTAGGGAGGCCTTTGGGATATTTTATATTTTCCCTTATTGGGCTTAAGAGGACCCTATTTACTAATATTTTTCAGAGGCTTTCAAGGGTCAGCCAGGAGTATATCGTCTTGAAGACGGCACATGTGTATCCGGAGTACATCGTGGAGTTTGACGACTGAGCCTTGGGCCCAGGCCCGGCCCTGTGAGCATTTGGCCCGGGGCTCCTGCTAGTAATGTAGGGGCCTAAGTAATTACCTATACTATTTTGGGGTTCCTTATTATATAATTATAGTATAATGGGCCCCAAAACCCTATTCTAATTTTGAGGCCTTTACATTCTCCACAGCCATGCTTTGGCCTTGAAGGCCTGAGCAGTAATCCCAAGGTACCGACGGGTTGTCGGCAACTCGAGTTGGCGCTGTGGCGGCGGTGTTTTCTGTTTTCCTGTCGGGTGCATTAGCCAGTCAGGAGATTTGTGGTGGACCTTCGGGCCCATCATTTTAGTATGACGAGTTTCTGAAGTTTTGCGTCGGACCTGCAGCACAGCGCAGCTGTCGACGAGGATGCTTGTTTGCTTCCTAATCCCACCCTGAGGATGGGTCCACAGGGTACCCTCCCAAGCGCCGGTTCCATTGATGTCTTGCCAGAAAGCAGGTCCAGTAAGATGATACTCGAAGTGATGACAAATCTTATTAGTAATATACTACTTCATCAGCATGTGGACTTCAGATTTACTGATCTTCTGCCGATTCACTTGTGTGCTCTCACTGGTACCTGCTGCTCACTGGCACCCAGCATTTGCGTGGACTCCTGCTCGGGCAGGAGTGAAAGCCGCTTGTGTTTCTGCACATAGCTTTTAGCGTTTAGGGTTTTAAGTTTATCGCTTTAGCTAGGATGTAGGCGTTCTAAGTGCATGGTGCTATCTTGACGTCTTGTTCCGGTGCCGGCTCTAGGATTGAGGGGTCCTGTATTCGTCGTTGTACAGGGGTCCGTCGTCATCGCATATGCCCAGGAACGTAGTGCAGCCTAGTGTGGACCAGCTGTCGGGAAGCCTTGCCTGCCGCGAGTGTGAGAGTCGCAAGCTTTGATCCCTAAACCCCTAAACCCCGAAACCCTAAACCCCTAAACCCTAAGCCCCTAAACCCCTAATGCAGGCCGGAGCAGCCGCAACCTATGCACCATGGAGACTGCCGGCAAGCCCGGTTACACTGGACCCAATGATGCAGGATCGCCTCAGCCTGTAGTGTCGATGCTGCTAGCCGTGGTAGCCGTCGCAGTAAGCGCAGATAGTAGGATACCAAGATCAGCAGCTGCAGCGGGCAATAGTCTCGGCACACTGTAACAGTGCCATGGGGAGAGCGAGATGTATGAATATAATATAAATAAATAAATGAATATATATATATATATACATAATAAATACATACATAATTAGACAGTATGTATACATGCCACACACACAAATGTATATATATATATATATATACATATATATATACATATATATATATATATTTTGTACGTATATACACGCAAACACTTTAAAAAAACATACATACAGACACACACACACACATATATATATATATATACATACACACACATACAAAGGTGTGTGTGTGTGCATATATATATATATACATATACATATATAGATATACAGAGAGAGAGAGAGAGAGAGAGAGAGAGAGAAAAAAAAGAAGAGAGATCGGGGCCGAGGGGAATTTGTGTCACGACGAGGTCTGATCCTGGGCTACTCACATGCCTTCCGCCTTGTGGCCGGCAGCTTAGGGTTTAGGGTTTAGGGTTTCGATGCACTGCAAACAGCCGTGTAAGCGGGGTCATGTTCCCCGTCACCGGACTGATTGATAGAAGCCTTGAGATGTACGAGGGGGCCCACTGCCGTGGGTTTATGAAGTGTGAGCTGCAGCCTGGACTGGAGCTCACGACTCGCATTCACCCTGTTCAGCCTGAAGAGTTCGGATGACTCCACGTTTGCACTGGCCAACGTTTCGCTTCGCCTTACAAGGGAAGTTCCATCTGCTGGTCTTGCCACAGGTGATGCCAGAGCTCCCTCTATCTCTCCCCATGTCCTCTGCCGAAGCCCTAACCTTGAGCCCGAGGCCCGACACTCAGAACTAAACCCTAAATCCTAAACCCTAAACCCTAAACCACCCCTAAAGTCCTAAACCCCTAAAGCCTAAACCCTTGAGCTCGCACCTCTCACCTCTCCAAGCTGCCTAGGAGCCGTCGCCAGAGCGCATTAAGGTGGCGGGCACCGCAGAAGCCCCGCTCCAAGCTACCGATCACTACCAGGTTCTAGCAGTAGGACCAGTGGGCATGGGTTTAGGGTTGAGGGCTTAGGGTTTAGGGTTTAGGGTTTAGGGTTTAGGGGGTAGGTCACTGAAATTGTTTCGGTTCGCCCTTACTGGTAGTCCATGCAGCTTTCGACATGCCGTCGCCCGTTGTCGCGTGAGAGGATTGCGACCTAAGCTCCTGAGAAGGCGCGGGGTCGATCGACCACAGGCAGACAAGATCGATTGCAAAAGGGGAAAAACGGCACGGACTCGCTTTAAAGGTGGTTGTGGAAATCATCGTGGATGTAGACAACTAGTTGCAAAGTTTAGAGCCCGAGGGGTCTAGAAACCAACCCTAACACCCTTCCGTGATGCTCCCGAAGCAACCTTCTCAGTATATACAGAAGCCCGAAGAAACACCCGGAACGCCGAGTCGCTTCAAGTGGCCCGCAGCACGGTGCCGCCCTGAGTCAGAGGTGGTCATGGGCTTTGGGGCTTGGTGTAGGGTTCAGGATTTAGGGTTTAGGGTTTGGGGTGGGATTTCCCGATTCCAAGACAGGGGTTGGAAAACTGCAGTTTCGGCTAAGGGGCAAGTGTGGTAACCGTGCCAGCGTTCAAGGGTAAGGCAATCAAATACATCTTGGCCTTGGTGGTGATGCGGTTGATCATATAAATCCTGCATTACCCATAATGCCATAATAAGGAATATGCCATAATTCCCCTAGTTTAGGGTCCTTAAGGTAATGCAGGATTCATATCATCAACGGTAGGGTTGGAGGCCGGTCCACTCTCAAGCCATTCTGACCCAGATAAACTTACCTTAACCCACCAGAACCTACTTTTTGTAGGGTCCCTGTAAAGCCCATATTAGGGTTTATAACAAGACAATAAGAGCCTACAAAACAGTGGGTTTTGGTAGGTTGAGGTAGCTCTCCAGAAAGTCGTGATGCTTTCTGCACACAGGTTCGGGAAGGCCTTCGCAGGCCCCTGCTCTTTTCCACGCCTTTTTGGCAATCGAAGCCGTAAACTGTGCACCAAAACCTATTTAGGGTTTAGGGTTTAGGGTTCTTGCTACATCTCATAGATTCTCTGTACTATTTAGGGTTTAGGGTTCTTGCTACGCTCATAGATTCTCTGCAGATAAACATCCCCTCGCATTCCCGCGGCTCGCCGAGATTCCCAAGCTCGATGTGGCATCGGCTTTTGAGGAGGCGGTGGAGGTGGAGGGCAAGCAGCTGGAGGAGAAGTTAGGGGTCTAGGGCGTAGGAGTTTAGAAGTTTGGGGCTTGCAGTATGATGGTCTAAATCCTAAACCCTGCTCCCAAAAGGCTTATGGCATAGGAGTTGGGGGTTCGGGCGTAGGGTCTGGGGGTCTCGAGGTTTCGGGGCAGAGGGGGTACTTAGGGGTTTAGGGTGGTCATGGGTGTAGTAGAATGTGGAGGCTTAACTGTGTCGTGCGGATTGATGTTCCGCTTTTCCATCAAGTGCTACAACACCAGTAAATGTTTGACACAGTAATTTGTAGAATGAGCCAGGGTTTAGGGTCTAGGGCTGTTTAGATGAGCCATGACCTAGGCCCTCAGCCCGAAAGCCTAAATCCCTAAACCCCTCCATATAACCGCGAACACAACCCCGGAAATTTCCAAGCCGCAGCATCCCAGCGCACGTGCGACCGGATAGAGAGCTGACGTATTGGTCCTACAAGAAGTCTAGGGAGTACCTGCCACTAAGTCCCTTGTAGACGGAAGCTTTACGATTTTGTCATCCCTAAACCCTAAACGCCAAACCCCAAACCCCAAATCCCAAACCCTAAACCCTAAACCCTAAATCCTAAACCCCTAAACCCTAAACCCTAAATTCGGCTCCTTTTTTAGAGCGTATCGTCGTACCAGGAACCT